GACTTCTTCAGTTATTTGCTTACATATGATACGCAATGATTGTTAGATACTTAAGATTCAACAGCTTTCACTAGCATCTTTACCATAACATGATATCACGTCGATTGAGCAACTGCTGTGTGCGGTGCCTTTCGATTCACGTGGCCGGTGTGTGAACCAGCCAAGCACAGGCCACGCATTGTAAGGGCTTGCTGATTATCAGGAATGGATGGCATTTATTACACGTTGTGATGAAGTGAAATTCATTTGTGGGTTTGCGGTTGCCTTTGTGTCGTTACCTATGGATTTACGTCAAATTACGTTTGATTTCATCGTGTAAATCAAACCTGAATGGTGGCCTTGTGCTTTGCCTGTCGATGTAGCCGCCGTGATGTGAAACGCGTTGAATGCCGCCCGGGTGCCCGGTTGGATACCCTTTGCTTGGGTAGGGGCAACTTGACCCCGCTGACATCTCCGGAACGAAGAGAGCTAGGGACATCAAATTCACAGGGTGTCTTGACCTGTACATGATCTCACTTAGATCAAAGTTAGATGTTCCTAGGTCATGGCTTTCGGGTCAAATAAGGTCAAACAAGGCTATACTCCAGGCTGGCCTCTTTACACGCGCTCGGGTGGGGGTCAGAATGATCCCCACCCGCAGATTTTTCCTGAATGGTTTCCGAACGGCGCGGAGCAGCCGCGCCAAATTTTGCTTAGCCGTAGACAATTAAATGTCGGATCGTTTGGCATAACAAATTTAGATGCACCTTGTAAGATCGCTGACCTATGGCAGGTCAAGGTCAGGCTATGGTTTCAGCAAAGTCATTTTCTAGGGAATCATTTAATCTATGCAACAGTGGAGTGTTAAACGAAACCATACGTCCCTGAGATGTTTTCTTAGGCAACACAATATTGTATGAGTAAATTAAGTTGACTTAAGGCTAAGTATAAGGGTCAGACCTAGGTCAAAACCAGGCTGCTTTATTGCTCTGGGGCTTGCTGCATGGAACAGCTTCTGGTGCTCATTTGGAATTTGTTTATAGCAGGAACTGCATTATACATCTTCCATGGACTTCATAGAGGTCAAAATGGGTCACTGACCTGAAGTGACCCAGGTCAGCATCCTTTTTAAGGAGCATACTGCCCAGCATAATCTTTGTCGCTTATTCAAATGCAAAACCCAGAGCAGTCTTGCATGATTTCGGTCACCATGACCTTCAAAGGGTCAAACAAGGTCACTGACCTTAACTGAGCATGTGACCTTTTGCTTAAAAGCAGTTATCTAGGTTATGGGGGCACTTAGGAAACCAACCTGGAATTTGACCTTCTTTAACCTTATTTGACCCAAAGATCATGACTGAGGAACCTAAAACTTTGATCTAAGTGAGTTTGCGTATAGTTCCGTACACCCTGTAAATTTTGTGTCTCTAGCTCTCTTGGTTTCCGAGATCTAAGGGGGGGGGGGAAATTGACCCCCTCACCCGAGCGAAGGGTATCTACCCGGCCACCCGGGTGTGTGTTAAGTGTCACTAAAACCTAGATACATGTTCTAAGCAAAAGTTCACATGCTCATTTATGGTCAGTTACCTTGTTTGACATTTCGAAGGTCATGGTGACCAATATCATGCAAGGCTGACTTGGGTTTTGCAATTGAATAAGCGACAAAGACGCTTGGCAGTATGTTCTTAAAAAGAAAGTGTTGACCTGGGTCAATTCAGGCCAGTTACCTTCTCTGACCTTTAAGAAATTCAGGAAAGATGTAACATACGGTTTCTGTTATCAACAAATTCGAAGTGAGCACCAGAAACAACCTCATACAGCAAGTCCAAGAGCAATAAATCAAATTGGCGTTGACCTTGGCGTAACCTTCACACCTGACTCTAGGTCAATGAAATTTGTTTATTTTGTGTTGTGTTGCTTAAAAATTTGTTTCAGAGATGTATGGCTTTGTCCAACACTCCGTTGTTGCAACAGATTAAACGATTCCCTTGAAACTGATTTCGCTGAATCTGTGGTCTGACTTTGGCCTGCCGTAAGTAAGCGACCTTACAAGAGACATCTAAATTTTTGATGCCAAACAATCCGCTATACAATGGTATATGGTTATGCAAAATTTGGCACAGCTACGCCGCGCCGTCCGGAAACCATTCCGGAAAACCTTGAGGAGTCAAATTGACCCCCACCCGAACGCGTGTTGATATAGGATGTATCAATAAATTGATCTAATCAGAACTTGTTATGCTAAGTACCACGGCAGAGTTAGTATTTCATATATGCATCAAGGGGCCGGCTTGTTTGATGTGGGATTTAGCATGGGTATTAATAGCCCACATAGAACATTTGTCAACATTCACCCGCCGGATCTGTTCCATTAACTTCTCGGGTCTACATTCTCCACTGCGACATTCATTTCATAGCTGCGCTAATGCCCTTTGACTCCTTGTTTTGAACCATCGCCCGCCCCCGCCTCTGCCCTGAATGCAGTGATCAGCCCAATGCTAAATCAATGTCCAGTTGTATCAGACGGCTGAGAGCGGAAGCGGTGAATGTAGTTGCATTGAAGCGCCGCCGCCCAACGCAGCTGAGACCTGCCGCTATAGAGACCGACTCGAAGCTCGGCTCTGGCCTGAGCCCCGGAGCCGAGCCTGAGCCCCGGAGCCGAGCCTGAGCCCGAGCCCGGAGCCGAGCTACCACTGTGGCGGCTGCCTCTGTAGCTGCCACTGTATCGGCTGCCACTGTAGCTATTATTGTAGCGGCTGCCACTGTAGCTGTCACTGTAGCGGCTGTCACTGTAGCTGCCACTGCTGCAGCTGTCACTGTAGTTGCCACTGTAGCGGCTGCCACTGTAGCTATCACTATAACGGCTACCGCTGTAGCTGCCACCGTAGCTGTAACTGTAGCGGTTGCCACGGAGGGACGCAGCGCGAACAACAACGCCCATACGGAGAAAAACATGCATACTCTTTTATAAAATCAAACTGGGCCACGAGGAGTTTGTCGTGTATGAGGTCAAGCGCATCGCCGCGCATGTGGCGATTGCGGTGATGTCAACACGCGCATGCGTGTTGGATTATCTGAAAACCTGGCGGTGTCAGGGCAGGTCAACTTCACACAGATAAGTGAACTTACGAGCTGTTTTGTGTTGGAGAGCAGGCAGTTGTTTCATCGTAAATTCAAAAAGCAATAGGTGGAAGTCATCAAGGAGTGGAAAGAGATTGTGTTATTTCTTCCCACCGAGCGTCCAACGCAAAACTTTTCTCACATCCTATAAGGGCGAGAGGATCTGCAAGTCCAGCTAGTAAGAAGACTCGTGCCCATCAATTGACGTTCACGAAGTACCTTTGTATAGTTTTTGACATCATTTGTCTACGCCATGGGCCAGATGTGGACCTTTGCTTGTTTCATTGACCTACCCCACGCCTGTCTATGCTCTAGACGCATTTCCGTACTGACATATGCCCCGTTTATCTGTGGTCACAATTTTGACTCTTTTATGCTGTTGGTGCTTATAGTCTATCTGTGCATGTGGTTATTGAAGCGTTTCTAATCTGGCTTTGATGTGTTTTTCACGTGTGGAGCATTCAATCTTCCCGTGCATTCCATCCTCCACATCCTCACGCGTGGAGCATTCAATCTTCCCGTGCATTCCATCCTCCACATCCTCACGCGTGGAGCATTCAATCTTCACGGGCATTCCATGCTTTACATCCTCACGCGTGGAGCATTCAATCTTCACGGGCATTCCATCTTCCACATCCTCACGCGTGGAGCATTCAATCTTCCCGTGCATTCCATCCTCCACATCCTCACGCGTGGAGCATTCAATCTTCACGGGCATTCCATGCTTTACATCCTCACGCGGGGAGCATTCAATCCATTAGTACATTGTGACGGCAAACCACAATCTTCCAGCCTCTCGCTAGCTGTATATGTTGTTCATTCACTCACTTATGCATCCAGACACCACGATGACACCAGCTGATTCAAATGACCCACCACTCCAGGCGCACAACGGCCGCTCATCTTCCCACCCGCTGTGGCCCATATTGAAAGATAAATAACCACCAATGTCTGCGTTATGTTTGGTAGCGATTATCCGAAAGTTCCCGTTCAATACAAACAAACTGGCTAAAGCGTTTCCTCTTTTGCATTTACAATTTCTTTGTTAGTGTTGCGCTACATCGTACACCTGAATTCAACTTTGGCTGCCACTGCATGGAAGTCATTGCTGGCTTGCTTGCGTCATCTATAATACGATTTTTGTTTCCCGTTGACAAAATAGCTGCTAATTGTTACGGTGAACACTTAACCAAACTCCGTTTACAGCTAGTAAGATGAAATCGACATCCAATCACCAAGTCATATTACCTTGAAAATAGTTCCGGTGCTGCAGGTAGCCAGTCACAAGTTGGCGTTTTCCATTGGTCTGGTAAGCCTACCCTATGGAGCAGCCTTGGATGTACATGTGTTCCACCGCTGCTAAAACAGTACGATTACCGGCGCACAAGATCTGCAAAACAAAGCAACCAGAGATATTTGAGCGAGGAAACCTATGGCTTGCGACTCAGCAAACAACGCATCTCATTATTTAAAGCCGACGAAACTGTCGCCGGGACCGGTGGCCTAGTGTCGGGATGTCAGGGCAATCCAGCGGCCGTTGGCCTAGTGTCGTGATGTCAGAGCAATCCAGGGGCTAGTGGCCTAGTGCCGGGGTGTCAGGATAATCCAGCTGCCGTAGGGCTAGTGCCGGGATGTCAGAACAATCCAGACGTCGGTGGCTTGCTGTCGGGATGTCAGGATACTCCAGCGGCCGGTGGCCTAGTGTCGGGACGTCAGGGCATTTCAGCGGCTGGTGGCCTAGTGTCGGGATGTCAGGACAATCCAGCGGCCGGTGGCATGGTTAAGCGGCCGTTGGCCTAGTGTCATGATGTCAGGATAATTGAACTGCCGTTGGCCTAGTGTCTGAATGTCAGGACAATCCAGCGGCCGACGGCCTAATGCCGGGATGTCAGGCTTCCCACGGCCCTGGCGCAGGTGTGCCGGAACGCCTGCCAGAAGTCCCAGCTGAAGACGACGAGCACCAGCGGGTTGAGGACGGCCTTGACGCCGCCGCTCACGATCGCCAGGGTCCAGATCGGGAAACGGTCCTTCGGCATCAACACGCACGTCGTGCTTTTGAAGATCAGAATCAGGCCGATGGACGGCACGCGACTCATGTGACCGTGGCGACGGCGGACGTCTGAGGCTGACCCGGGCGCGGTCTGGCAGACGGCAGCACCGCTGGCAGGCTCGAGCGCTGCAGAGTAGGGTGTGCCATCGAGGGGTGTATCTCTTGGAATCAGCTGAGACAAAGTTTTTCCTTGGCACACGGATTAATGATTAACTTTTAGGCCTGTCGCGCCGTAGCAATGTTGATATTTGTGAGGCGAGAACAGTTTTTCTTTGATAGGCCAAGAAAACTGTATTCGATACTAGCGCCACCTAGTTTACGCCTGGGATCATCCTCGAACAAGCCTCAAAGCTGCCAGTTTCCACACTTCTGGTACTTGGAGGACTAAGTATGGAATAGATATGAAGAGCACCAGCAAAGCATTACCAAACAGCTTTTAAGCTGACCTTTTAGAAAAAAAACATAAATTTTTGTTTAAACCCAAAGCTGTGCAGTTATGAGAATGCTCCAGCAGACCATGTTAGGTTCAAATTTGTTATTGCCAACGCATATTTGTGACGTTGATTTGCAATTTATGTTTTTTTTGGCGTGGGATATAGGGGTTTATTAGTTTAGTTTTGTTGGTACTGAAACCATTCTTTCGAACAATTACTTGCATAAGCATACCGAGGGCTGTACGGTCGCGCACAAAACATTGTGTGATAGGCTACCCGACTCTACTGTACTATCACCAGTTGCCGACTAAGGGAAAGTCTTGAGCCACATCAGGTGGCTGAGCGAATCGAAGAGGAATCTTACCAATACCATCTTCAAGACCGCGACGGTAGAAATCGGGTACTGTGGACCAACGAAGCGATCCCGGTTCATGATCTGAAATACGTGACAAAATTGATCGAGAGGGATTTAGATCATCCCAACAGAGCAAGAAATCGAATCAGCAAGAAATCAAAGAGAATGGCACAGCAACGCCGCCACCGCAAAATTCAACAAGCTTCTTGATGTCGCGAAATGCAAGTGCAAGCCCCAGTGCAGGTTTCCATGCCCAGTTGCCTGCGCAGTGTATCAGGAGGAGGTTGCCATAAAGGACCACTGCATGCACCGGAAGGTTAACCTTGGATCATATGAACCGGGATACCATTGTGACTAGGGAGGCTCGCAAGATGCGGAGGTTGGCCAGGCAACTCCAGGGGCGTCGTGGCTCGGCCGCCAGTGAGGCGGTGTCTGCTGCTGAACCTGAGTCGCCTTCCCCGCCGATTGCTGAGCCCGCGCCGCCTGCTGAGCCAGCGCTGGCTACTAGTGCTGACCCCGAGCCTGCTCCGGGATCAAGTGGCCTCAGCGCTGGCAAGTCAGCCGAGAGCATGGATTCTTACATTGTTCCGTGCATGGTAGAAGGTGGCGGCGACGCCGAGTGTTCTTTCCGGTCGATACCACTGTCATTGTAGACTATAACGTCAACGATCTGACTAACACCGCTCTGGCAGTTGAAAACCACGGTGACGAACCAGGCCGTTGCTGCTATCATCAACGCCTTTCAACAAGACAGCAGAGACGGTCTGGCTACTTGAATTCAAATATCGTATATCCTAAGAAAATCTGCTGCGTAAAAGACAGAGCGAGAAAGGAGACGGCTCGGTAAAATTTTGAAGCAATCCACGAGCCAGGTTTGACCATCTGCTCCGATGGCCGTGAAGGCAGGATCTACATGAGCCACGCGGAGCTAGACGAATGCCGCTGCAAAACACGTGGTCGTGCGACGGTCTCATCAATGAGCTCGGCTACGATGAAACGCTCGTCAACACCGAAATGATAGGCAACGTGTTCCGGCTGTTTAAGCTGGCCACCGAGTCACGCGTACACTCGTTTATTTGCGAGCTGCGTGGTAACGAGGTGAACCTCCTCCTTCTGCTGCTGAACTTGGACGGCAGGACCCGGGATCGACATTTTTCTGGACCCATCGGCAAGACCTGTGCCGAAGATGTCTGGGAGAGGGACGCTGCGGCATTCAAACCTATGCCGGGGCACGTGCCAAACCTGCCGGTCGACCTGATTCAGCAACCGAGCACCAACCAGCAGCTGCTGTACCTTCTGGCCTCCGGTGTTCAAAACGGCTCCGTCCGAAACGTGACGCTCAGCGGTGAATCGGACCATCGAACCATGTCAGGTAAATATGAAAACGCATAGCTTCGATTTTATAGCAATGAGTGCTTAAAGTTCATCAAGTATCAATGGATATTTCATGTACTCATTGTTGAGCATTTACTTATTATCATGCCCTACGCCGTAGTATGTCGCATCATTTGCTGGTTTGTGCATGCTTGCTAGCATATTCGTTTATATGTATTCCGTCAAATTTAAGGACTCTGGATACCGGCATAATTACATACACTAAAGAGGCGCAATAATGGTTGTATGATCTAATGCTCAGTTCGTAGCGAGTTGTTCTAATATATTCGCTCTTGTTTCAGATGGTTGACACTGGCCTCTCGCCTGCTCCTAGTTCACATCTCTACCGAGACCTGCAGCAGCGCTCGAGGATCTCGTCCAGTGCGTGATCGGCCACTACGTGTCGGTACGGTTCGCCACCCAGCAAAACAGCGGCTGCGACTTGTTCCGGAGCATTGTGCTGATCCGCGACCTGCCGCAGCACACATAGGCCACGGTGCAGCCAGTCCTCCAGCGTAACGGGTACTGGGTCCGTCCGGAACAGCTGCTCCTAGACATGGTGTAGGACGAGAACCGCATGGTCCGCGAACAGGCGGCTCCGATCGTCGCGGCGCTCGTGAGCAGCAAACCGAGGGTCTTCTTCAGCCCAAGGTCTTTGCCATCTCAGCGGTAAACTTCGAGGCCGTGAGCCACACCGAACTGCTTCTCTGGCACGGACCAGTCACACAACCTCCACTGCGAGGCCTCAGCGACTGCGAGCCGCGGGACAAAGTGCAGGCACCGCTGGCCGTCTCGCCCTACCTGGTTCACATTAGGAGTGCGACGCAGCGCAGCACTGCCGAGGACGTCCGGTGCTGGAGCTGGAGCTTCGGCAATATGTGGAGCCCAGTTGCGAAGGTATTTCTGCTACGGGGCGATCTCTGCCAACACGCGTTTTGGGTTTGGAGTCTGTGAGCAGTTGCTGTTTGGGCCGGTACATCGCATACACAGGCTCGGCAAGGAGCAAGATGTGCATGGGGTCACCCTACCGCCCCCCCCCCCTCTCTCTCTCTCTCTACGTCCGTGGTAAAAGCTGCAGAACTTGCTGTATGCACTAAGTTGTACACCAAACATTATATTCTGAGTCATATGTTTTACATAGCTTTGTTTGCATCACGCAAATTTTCTTGGAGAAGTGAAAGTCTAAGGCAACATTACCCGGCATATTCGTACGAGTTCATCAACGGCACATAAAGCTTCCGCCAAATGGCAATCAATTGGGCAATGTCTGATCCGCATATTAGACCTTAGACCGGGACATTCTCGTACGATGGCTTAAGGAGCGCTCGGTAGCATCGTTTCTACACGTAAAAGTATTTTGTGTCGTTTGCCGCCCACAGCTTGGTGTTACCTGTGGCGGCGGACGCCGTCCAGCAAAAGGTGACTGAAACGCCGGGCGTCGGTTTACGGCGGTATTTCGATCAACTCGCGCCTCACGAATTTAAGCTTTTAGGAAGAACTTTTGCTATGCCATGTACTTTTGGACTCCTGCGTCAAACGATGTCTTTGTCTTACTTGGTTTTGTTTCTGAGGACACATCCTACTGCAGAGTGAGACGGACGCAGACGGCGCCGCATCCGGGCCGGTCTGACGCCGCGGCAGTTCTCGGCGCTGGAGGCCGGAGCTGGTCCGGGGGGCTGGGTCAGGGCCGGGCCGACGCCGCGGCAGTTCTCGGCGCTGGAGGCCGGAGCTGGTCCCGGTGGCTGGGTCCGGGCCGGGCTGATGCCGCGGCAGTTCTCGGCACTGGAAGCCGGAGCTGGCGCGGGGGGCTGGGTCCGGGCCGGGCTGCCACCGCGGCAGCGCCCAGCGCTGACAGCCGGAGCTGGTCCGGCTCCACGTCAGGTGTGGTGGCGAGAAGAGAGGCGGGATCGTGTCCGATGTGCGGTATCGTTTCCGATGTCACGATGCTGACCGGTGACGGAGAGCGTCGGAACCTGCGGACTCGCCCTCCTCAACGCTTCCCCGTCTGTGCTGGGTCCGCTCGTGCCGGGACGTCGGGACGCGTGTCGTCTCCGGGGTACGCTGACATCGCGGGGCTGGTGCTCTGTGCTGCGACTCCGGCTACGCTGTCCAGGCAAAGGCGATGCGGGTCGCCGCAAACGTTGTCTTGATTGCAGTGTTTTCTTCAGAATACGCGCGTAGCAGAAGCCAAGAATGACAAAGCCGATGGTGTATTTAATAACGTCGAGGACTAGCACGGTCCTATTCTGCTGCTACTTCAGCACCAAAGATATGCTGTAGTGTTCCGACATTCAGGCAATCTTCTCGCAGCACTTTCTGCAGTCCGCCTGATAAGACGATGTATGAGACAATGTTTGGTCTGAGGACCACGACCGCCGTAGCCAGCAGTATGTTTGGCGTCATTTCTGGAAAGCTTGGGTTCCGGATCACTGCAAGATAACGCAGAAACGTCACAGCTATGACCGCCGCGAAGTCAATGTCCGCGGTAATCTGCAAGATGACGAAGCGCACTTGGCAAAGGCAGGGATACATGGCACCCCGCACTCCTACATCTGTGATCGGCACCGCTGTCCACAGCAGATTGGTCGCCAAGCCGATCAAGTTCAGGTAGTTGATCTTTTGTAGTTTTCGGCTGAGAACCACAGTGAGTGCCATGACCAGGTTCAGCACGAGCGCCGACACCGCGGGGAGCCCACCACAACCACGCAGACGGCGCGCATGGTCGCAGCGCCGCCCCCATTGTCAACCTGGCGCGCACCAGGCCGTCCCCGTTATCGTGCCGGTGGCAGCGCAGCTGGAGCGCCTCCTGGACAGTCTGGACCACGACCGCCGTACAGTTCAGAAGAGAAGCTTTTCTCTCCAGACTTGCCGAAAGGCCGGGAA